CGTCTTTCAGTCTCAAATTTTACACAATTTTAAATCTCTCTGTCCGACGTGGTAAATTTCTTCAGCGATCTTGTAGACATGTTTTCGACATCGCAAACACCAATCTTCTTGCTGGTGCGATCACGATGAATGAATTGCGATGCTATCACAAAGAGAAAAAGAAAGATCGTATTCGATTTCTTATCGACAAATTTCCCTCTTGATTTCGTTATTCGTCTCATTATTTTTTTTCCTCTTCTTTTTATCCATTGTCCTATGAATATTTATTGCACCTTGCAAAGTATTTCAAATGAAATATAAAAAAAGGCGTGTGCAAGTATTATCAGTTTCTATTTCGATTCGTTGTATTTCTTATTGTCGATATTTTAATTAAATTTAATTTAATAGCAAATTCGTTGTATTTCGCAAAGCTTTTATTTGATTGAGAGAAAGGAAGGAAAAACAAAACTACTTTTAAATTAAATAAAATAAGAATTTAATAGCAAATTCGTTGTATTTCGCAAAGCTTTTATTTGATTGAGAGAAAGGAAGGAAAAACAAAACTACAATGTGAATAGCTGCTTGCAAAAGAAACAAACATGCTATCGAAAAAAGAGAAGACCCACACGGTATTCGCTCTCGTGGCGACAGTCGGGAATTGATACAAAAGAGTTTCCATCTTAAATCTTCTTCGTGCTTTTCTCGTTTTTCACGTGAGATAAAACAGTAACGTTTAAAGCGCCGGGTAGCCACCGCCTTCTCTGAGAGGGTTGGGCGAGGACCTCGCCAAATATTTGGTTAGTCTTTGATGGGCTTCGAGAAAGGACAAGGAAAGTACCAGCAGAACGCAGCGGGGGAGGAGGATCCCGGCAAGGGGAACGAAAAGGTAAGGAATGAAAAGGAGGGGAAGAAGATCCGAAAGGAAAGAGGATGGAGGAGATGGAGGCGCGTGCTAAGGTCCACGAACGGAGCGGCGGAGGAGTCGTAAGATCTGGAGAATGCCGGGCATTTTTATTGGTTCCAGCTTTGGCTCTCCTTGAAACTCGGGAAGCCGATCAGCCGGACAGAAGGATCGTCGAATCTGATCTTATACGTGCCTATATTCCCTTCCTCGGCGACAAAGATAAAGGAAGATTTTTAGGACGATTGTTGCGTAGAATTTCACACTTAAAGTAATCGAATCTTCGTGACTTTAGTAGCGTCTAGTACTTCGAACGTAGATTAAAGAACAGTTGCTTGAGAGTTTATAATTCTGTTTTAAAAAATCTAAATATATATAATGATATATTTAATATATCTACCATTGCAAGAGGCTATATTAAATATTGTGAATAAATAATCGCACGGTTTTAGAATATAGGATGTGTGGATCTGCATTGGATCTTTCAAGATCGAATCCAAATCTCTTCGGGGGAGAAAATACCGAGAAGATACGGGAAAACTTCATTCGCGATACACATTTCCGCGATGTTCATTCACGAAGGCATCGCGCGCGGACGCAATTCTGTAAAAATACACGGTTTTACCTCGGAGGTATATCACCCCGCCGCCTATATTCCCACCGCTCGCGATCCCCCGCCGTACAATAACATCCCGCTCTTTCCGCTTTTGTATTTTGTAAGTCAATTCGAAACATGAATCGTATAATAATTCAACGAAGCTAAGGAAAACACGACGGATATTATTCGTCCCACCTAGTCCGCCCCTCGATAGAGACTCCATATTTATGTGAACGCGGGGGTAGTTTGTGCGGAACGATGGATCCTCGCATTTCCGTACGTACGTTTTATCGCTTTTAAAACACGCTTGTGGTTATTTTTACTATAAACCTACGAGATCGCAGAGGGATTGTATTTGGGGAATTACGAAAACAATCTATACGACGGATGTTCGAAGTGTACGAAAAATTTTGACGCAACCTACGCTTCAAGCATGATTGATTGAATCCGAATAAATATAAGCTTAATGAATATAAGCGAATAAAATGAGCAAGTTATATTTTAATTTAACTGAGCTAACTCAGAGCTAACTCAGTTTGATCGACAGTTTCCAAGATTATGTTTATCTGAAGCAAAAATACTGGTACTTAAAAAAAAGTTGTAAAACGTAAGAAACTTTCTGGTAAATGTGCAGGTACAACCCTGATTTTTTGCCTAAAATTATACCGGGGCTGGGCGTGGAATAATGTATGTAGTTCGCCATAGAAGCGAACTAGTTGCAATTCCAATGAGAAAACTGAGTGCTATGTGAGCTTCGTATCTCGACGGATTTCTGTCTTCTCGCCTCTCATACATATTGTGATTACTTCTGCGGCAAGAGGAGAGAGAAAGCGCGAGGAGAGGAAGCGCATGTACGCGCACATTTATCATAGAACGGCACAACGGAAACGCATGTACTATTTTTACAGACGTGACTATATATGTAGATGTAAAAAATAAGAAACGAAATAAGAAAGAAAAAAGAACAATTTCTATTATATATTCAAAATATTATGATTTATATTATAATCTAGGAATTTTATTGATAAATTAATATTTTTTTATTAGCAAATTTGTTATATCAGAAATGTCAAATCAAAACGAAAATTTTCTCAATTAAATATTCGGACTTCAAATTTTTAGCAAACGCATATATTTCTAGAATATAATTTCTAATATATAAATCACTTGAGACCCAAACAATCGTGTATTGCTTAATCACATAACAACAATTCACTCGTGAATTATTTAATTAGAATAGTGATTTCTTTTTGCGGGAATGTTTTGATTCTGAATAAAAAGCTCGGAATTTAACAATTAATGGTACATGTACAATAGACACATATCTATAAACACATAAATTAATGTAAAATTAAATCAAAAGTTATTTTTTATTTAAAATCTTTAAATAGTCTTTCTAAATTAATATCGGTAATAATAGATTGACTTACGTGCCGTATAAGTCATATGACATATTTTATCCGGCTATTGCGCCGAAAGATACATACCTGCAGACAATTTCTTTTACGCCTGGGCCCGCGGCGAGAAAAATTGTTAAGAGAAATTTTTCTGACTTTAAGTGACGTTGATGTACGAGCGTAACCGAGAGAACGCCTGCAGGAATGTCAGATTCCTTTATTCCCCGCGAAAAGCACAGAAACCAACACCCCTAACTGGATAGCGCGATTCTGTAATTAAGAAGTATGAATTATTAAATTATGCGCGAGGTTATAATACAAAAAATATAAATTTTCGCGATCGTATGGGTAATGATTTTCAAAAAAAAAGAGAGAGGGAGACTTTGTAATATTAAATATTTGTAATTTTACAAGCTCTCGATCTATCCATAATGGCATATAAGATAAGAACGATGAAATATAAATTGTAAGATTTTTTAACGAACATTCCCCGTCAGTCGGTCGGGAATCTGGCAATCATTCCTTCTTTAATTGCGCACTAATTAGCTCAGCATCAATCGTAGTAGTGGCCGTTTCATACGTCGACAGGAACTGCAGCCTATAATTCGATCCGTACGTCGAGTTCTTTGCGGTGGGTAATTAAAAGCATTGTCAGAGCGAAATGCACGGACAAACTAAAAGGGTTCAGGATTCGCCGAGAGAAAAGACGCTTTCGTTTCATGTTTAGGTACAATCGGTAATTACAAATCGCGAATGTAATCTTAATGAATCCCGACTTACATTCAGGAATGCAATGATCGCGACGTGCAACAAGCGTGACAAAATTATAAGAGAAAATCATAAAAGTATAATTAGGAATTTGTAATTATTGGACAAAAAAATCTTATTAAATTACATAATATATAATAATAATAATTATATGTAATATAAATATATAACATTGAAAATTCAATCTATCGCGTGTTACTATATATTTTTTATTATTCACTTAAATAGAGAGAGTGAAGATTTAGTATCTCTCCATCAAGTAGAAATGCTAATTTATTAATGTAAATTTATAATCACACGCGAGACGATTTGACGACAGTATAGTTTCCTTCGTCTCGAATGCGCCTCGAACTCACAGGGATACGCGACTTTTTATTCGCAAGGGGGATGAAAGTCATGTCGTGTGGCGAGTGCTCGTCGACGTTTTTCTCTGAAAAGAGAGCAGAGCGGGGGTGTTGGCAAATACGTAGGACGCATTCAGATCAGTCTCCCAGCAGATCGAAAAGAGGGGAAATCCACCGAACGGGAACGACGACGGCGAAGTAGAAAAGGTTTTTCGGAGCGTGTCAGCAAGAGACATCAGAGGCCCCGCCATTTCCTCCGGTCGAATACAAATGAAATACGTGCGAATGTATCGCGCATTGTCGCTTTGTACTTCGCAGGGATCAATGCGTGAAAGAGAAAACTTCGTTTCGCCAAAGCGTTGGGCTCTGCGTCCCAGTGCAAATAATTAATGAACTCGTCGTGCCTCAAATAATTGCCTCTTCTTGGTGTAATTCAATTTATCATTACGGTATAAGATTGCATGTCTTGTCTGCAATTTGATGTGCCAAATATATGTCAATATATTATTTTCATGTAAGCCGATTAATTAAATTTTTTACTTTGTTGACTAATTTATGAATATGCATCGACAAAAATATCAAAGTTTTCTTTCATTTTTTTTCCATTCATTTTTTGGACAATATTATTATATCTAGATCTCTCTCTCTCTCTCTCTCTCTCTCTCTCTCTAGATTTTATATTCTTAAAATACGATTCAAATGTCAGTTAGTATCCGGTGATTGAAAAGATCACGTATACCTTGGCCATGCAAATCATAAAAGACGCGCGTTAAGTAGTTTACGTCAGAGCGACTTAAAATAGCGAAATAAAAATGCGGAAAGTACAGATACGTTGCTCTGAAAAATAATTTACAATCTTGTTTCTTATCGTAATAACGTCATTTTGCTTATCATGCGCCAGTCACAATGCTTGCGAAACACTGTGTTGGCATAAAAATCAATTTTAATTTTATCGCATTCCGTTATCGCAGCGATAACGGAAACAGCGTAATTGCTCGGAAGTCAACCATGTTTTCGAGTATCGGCTTTACCATCGTTTGATCTCGACGTCTTTCAGTTAGAACTGTCAATGTTGGAATCGTTTTGGTTATATATATGATTTCGTAGTGAATGTGATTAAGAATTGTTCTTGTTACGGAAGAAAATTGTTTGTCTTTCATCATGTTTAATCGAATATCGAAATCTCTGTTAACCAAAGAAACGAGGGATTATTTAATGAGGTAATGTTTACATTCAATATACATATAGTGTGTTGATTTAAAAGCATCATATATGATATCATGTAATATATTTCATTTTTACGAAAAATTCAATTTTACTAGCAATTTTTTGGCAAGTTTGAAATAGATTTTTTTCCAGTCTAGATATCGAGATCTGTTGTTTGTAAAATTTTCCTTTTTTTCCAAAATTGTATATAAATACAATTTTATATTTTATACATATTATTTACAAATTGTTATGAAGCTAATATAAAAAAATAAAATTGTTTCGTTAATCGTGGCTGAATTATATATTCGTATCTCCCTGTCGCTCTCTCTTTCTGAGATGATTGCACTTGGTACTTTAGACCATTATAAGAACGCGATTTATGGAAAATAAACTACTTTTTCAGCACTCATTTCTGGGGCCCGGTATTCAACTGGATGATACCCATAGCGACCATATCCGACACGCGAAAGCATCCAAAAATCATTAGCGGCAAAATGACTGTGGGTGAGTTGGACCTAACTCTATTGGTGGACCTTTCGAAGAATTCGTTCTCCATCTCACATAATAATCATACATCGCGACAGAGCGAGAGAATGCGCGGCGAACAGTGAGAGGAGGGGGAAGGGCAAGGGAGGGGTGACGAGAGGGCCCGAAAAGGGCCCATAAAATAATTGCTGCTCGAGCGCAGCAAATATCCGTTTATTTCTTAATGAGCAACACGCCGCGAATATTTGAGATGCATATCGACCTAAGACGAGTTTGCAAGTAAATTGCTACAGCGAATTGTTGTAAGCCATATTTTTAATCGTTTAAATGTAATACTTGCTCTCCTCCACACCCAAAGAATTTTCTCTGTTTGTGAGCCTCGTAAATGTGTTTCAAAACACGTTCTCATATTGTACAAACAAGAAGCCACTCTAAATTTCTCTATTTTCTTTTAATTTAATAATTAAATAATAAA